GAAGTTCAATGATGGGGACATTTCTTTTTTGAAGATCTTTGAGGACCTGGATATTAAACCAGGAGTATTTACCTTTGAAGGTGCCCAACACTGTGCTCGACAACGAATACAACTGTCGGCAACAAAGACCAAAGAGCCAACAAAAAACAGAAGAAAAACATTAAGACATCTTAGGAAAAAATATATAGATGAGGCAGAAGAGAAAGAAGGATTTTCTCAGATTTGTAATTTGACAGTAGTCAGCAATACTTGGAACCATGTAATTTTCTAGGTTTGTATCATAGAAGCTTGATACTTTGCACATCTATAGTCTGTCCCATTGTCCATTATGTGACACTCTTCACATTTCAGCATTGTTCATTATTGATGAATTATTAACAAATTACATCATAAATATTTCAGTTAAAAGTACCAATAGTGCATAATTCCATTTTTGGCTCACAAATTTTTTATTAATGGGATTCTGGAAAAAAATGAAGAGTGTCACATAATAGATGAGGTCCTAAGCTTTTAAAAAATATATCACTCATTAAATTTGGGTAATTGGTTAATGATATATGATGTTTGCGACGCTAGGCAATTATGGCCTAATTAAGAGCCGCCATCTTGGATAATTAGTGTAATTAGCGACTTTGTAATTTTTTTTTCATAGTTCGTTTTACTTGACCTAACCCTTTCAGAAAGTGATATTTTCACTTTATTATCTTTAAAAATAAAAAAAAATGGTTTAAAGGGATTCAACCACCTTATAACCATGCAGCCCTCATTCAATTAACTCTTAAAATCATGAATTATATTGCATTTCTGCAGTGTTTTAACTATAAAATATAGTACAACAGTAACTCTGAATATGGACATTTTTTAATGGTAACCAGACTTATTGCATATATTTAGAACAAGTGCCCCCTCAATGATGCTTGGGACTAATAACACCCAGGAAGCTTGATACAGAAATTAAAGTAGTTATTTGATTGAAACTGGTAGCAATCTCAATCCTACTGTATCTCCTTTTATATACAATTGCCAATATATTCACATAGAATAATAGTTTGGAAATGGAATCAATGCTTGTATATTTTTAGCAAATGAGCATTGTTATTGATCCACAATGACTCTTATTGCTATAAACAACATTGTTTCACATTATTAGCAACAGACAAGGGAACATCTATATTTAAATTCACCACTTATTTTGTATCCAGACACAAATGTTTCATTAACTGCTACCTTAATGCAAAAATTATTTCAAGTTTGGCTTAGTTACAGTCTTACAGTACATCATCCTGTCAAGTGGCAATCATTTACAAAGCAGGTCTTTAACCAAATGTTTTATAACCTGCATGGGGGACTTTTAAATTAATTATTCTATAATTTATACAGATGCTACAAAAACACCTGGCATCTTAAATTTATAGATAACTGACTCATTTTACAAAAGCACAAAGACCACAGGTTACAAAATGTTGAGTGTTGACCATAATATCAATTTGATAAGCTGTGATTAAGTGACCTCTTAGCACATATATGTCAAGTAAACATGAAACGGAAGATCTAATGTACTATATTGTTTAAAGCTTTAACACAAGCAAAAGCTGTTACTCCAAAGTCCTGGCAACAATTTGTCAATTTAACAAAACAACGACAACGTATGCAATGATTTCATTTAGCCAACTCTTTCATGGTTTATATAATGGGATATTACGAAACTTGTTACGCCGTCGTTTCCACATACAATATACTCATACTGTAGATCGATAAAAAGTCATTCATAAATACCATGCCATTTTGTAATTATATACCCAACGTCCCAATAATTTTTCATACGATTAATATTATATCCTTTGATTTATATTGTTTGATTTCGCATTCCAAATCTGATAAACATTGATAATTCTCTCTTCGCGTATGTCCACGCGTAAAACTCGCAAAAAAACACGCATTAATTGTGTCGGCAGCATTGATGATCGCGGCAGCCAATCAAATAACGATTTCGATTCGATTTCCCCAGAGTCATGCCACTACATAACCCGCGAACAGGCATACTCTGGGAACGAGATTGTTGTAAGACATGATATTAGAGAGTTTAAGTTCGACTTCCAATACTAATACCGATACCGATGTTTTCACTTCCGTTCTCATTTTGGTACCGGGAAATTTAAAGCGTTAAGTTATCACGACAGATAAAGTATAGAACACATTAATCGTCACCGAAAATGTACGGTATACTAAACGGCGGCTGAGCTAAAATTCCGACTAAAACATGATTCAGGCGATGCTAATAAACAAATAGTTTACATGTTTATCGTAAAAATTATGAAATATCCGATTTATATGAGTTTATCTTACAATTCCCCCGACTTCCAATACAAGGCCGACTTCGGTAGTGGTGACTTCCAATACACTTGTCCTCGCGCTTCTTGCGAGCAGAGTGCATGCGCATGACATCTTGTTAGTATCGGTATTCGTATCGGAAGTCGAACTTAAACTCTCTATTATTACGTCCAGGAGAGTAGTGCAGAAAGAAATTCGGAAACATGATTATCGGAACAACTTATGACAGTTAACACGCTAATGTTTTTTTTCCTACTTGACACATTTGATAGTTGCTGCCGTAGGCAGCACACTATTCTTGACAACTGATTTCGACATTATGACTCGTGCCAGTTTCCTTGACCGAGTTATAACGATGCAGCTTGATTCAAAATATAGAAGAAATTTGGATTTCTGATGGCCGGTATTCGCTCGTAAGTCGCCGTAAAGCTCTCGTTCTGTACTTTCCGCCATGATGAAAAATATAAAAAACAATAATTTCTTCACAAATAAAAAAGATAAGATAAGATAAGATAAAATGATGTTTAATAGCACAAATTCGCACATAAAGTGAAGTACAAAGTGCTTACATTAAAATACTATAATAATATAAGATTATTTACAATTGTTGTTAGGACAAAGTTAAAATCAAGTCTCACCAGTCACTGTTTACTATTAGCAATATTAATTGTAATTGGGAAAAAGCTATTTTTAAACCGATCAGTTCGACATTTATAAGTTGATAAATTATTTGATGATCTAATAAAATAATTATGCTCGTTCGATCTAGTCTGGGTCACGTGTTGTGTAAGCGGACCACCTCTGGTTATCTTCGTGAGTGTCTTCAAACATAGATCTTCACGTCTAGTCTCCAATTTGGTGATACCAGCCGACAGCAACGCATCTTAATAAGTTTGTTCAGGGTATACAATACGCAAGGCTCGCTTTTGGATTTTTTCAAGTTTGTCATATAAATAGCATGGGATAGAGTTGTGCCAAACTTCACAAGAGTATTCAAGGATTGAGCGTATATTAACGCAATATACACAGTGAGAAGGTCTGCAGGAGGAATACCACTTCGGCGCAACACCCGGAGGATATGCAATCGTTTGGATGCCTTCGAGACTATTTCATGGATATGTTCATCCCATTTCAGGTTGTTTTGGATCGTAAGTCCCAGTACTACCTATAAATAGGTAGTCCAAGAACCAAAAAAGTGGTACGGGTACCAATTTTATCCGTGTCGTACCAAAAATTGGGCGTAGTGTAAACGGGGCTTTAAGGCGAATTTCCAGTCCTCGCACGAAGCTCCTCGCAGCTCGCTGCGAGTGATGCATGAGCACTTTCATCCAATCACAATGGTAAACAGTTCATTTTAATTAGATGCAAGCACTCGCAGCGAGCTGCGAGGAGCTTTGTGCGAAGACTGGAAATCCGCCTTAAGCTCTGCTCACAGGCACAGGGTATATAACTATTAACTCAACCACGAAGGAAAACATCGAAATGACGTATAGTGTCGTATAGTCTTGTATAACGTTGTATAGTCTTGTTTAGTCCTGTATGGTCTTGTATAATTCATATAATAATCGTCTATAGTGCAGTATAGTGTTGTATAGTGTTGTATAGTCTTGCATAGTGTCATATAGTCTTGTATAACATTGTATAGTGTCGTACAGTGTCGTATAGCCTTATATATTGTTGTATAGTCTTGTATAACGTTGTATAGTGTCGTATGAGTTAACATTCACCGAAGCACGTAAACGGATGTAAAGCCTCATTACTGAACGAAATAATCGTTAAAACTACAGTTCCCTATTGGCTGACAGCAATCGATACGTTCTCAACCGTAGAATAACGAGCTCTTACTGGGTAAACGTTTGGTAACGTTTGGCATAATTTATTCGCACGAAAGTTTGTCGTGTGTTGATGATTTAGATACGATTGCATTGCTTAATTTTTTAACGTAAACGCGAAATTTGCATGCATGTGATGTGATAACTCGGGACATGTCGCTCATTCCCTTAAAAACTAGCCCGCACTATGCATGCCAGCCTTTACCTACCAAACTAAAACTTGCATGGAATACCCGCAGTTAACTGATATAATTACTTTGTAAGTCGATCTGGCCGCTATTTGTATACGAAAATTTTGTTTATGTTCAATGCCATATATACTGTAGTGTACTGAATATATGCACGAATTTGCATAAAGGGGATACAATAATTCCCAAAGGGCAAACATGGAACAGGCGTCTATAGACATACTCAATACAGTCAAGACAGTACAGTATAGCAATGGACAACGACAATGTTTTAAACTTCGCATTTCTAAATCTTTGTAATACTGTCAATATCTTTTTCGGCATTTACATACCAATTATCAATGCGGCAATTGAAGAATCAATTAGTCAAACCTACAGTGAACAAGACTTAAACATGCTTGTTTCAACGGTGTGTAATATTTTCCGAGCATACTTTAAATTAATTGCTCTCGCTGCAACATGTACACACTCTTCACTTCCGAGAGCTCGTATCGAAAATGTGTTGTTTCCTGACGCTGTTGGCTCAGAATTTTCAGGACGAGATGTTTTTAGCGATCTAGAAAGATGTGAACATCTCTTTTGGAGTTTAACCGGGGAAAGTGTGGAGTCTTTTAGACGAATAATTCAAGGTGTTGCACCTGAAATGACAATGTACACCAGAGCACGGCAACCCAGAGTTAGAAACTGCCCTTTCAGACTGGATGTTTGTAATCGAGTACTTCTGGTGCTGATTTGGCTACGAATGTATCCAGAAATCACCATGTTATCTGGTATGTTCATGGTTAGTCCAACAACTGTACAGAGAGAAATCCGTTATCTTCTACCGATGTTGTGGACATACTTCAGAGAACTGGTTCAGTGGCCTAACGCTGAGCAATGGCAGGATATGGCTCATGACTGGGAGATGTTTCCAGGCGCAGTAGCATTGATAGATGGAACACGGCACGAAATCCAAAGACCGCAGATAGAGCCACAACAACAATTCTACAGCGGGCACTGTCGTTACCATAATTTCTCCACCCAAATAATCATGGATAACCGAGGAAATATTGTTTATATCCAGTCGGGTTTTTTGGGCCACAACAACGACAGCGCTCAGCTTCAAATGATGCCGAGAATAGGAAACGGCGAAGAACTCCACTTGCCAGAAGGCTTGTACATTCTAGCTGACAAAGGATATCCATGCGAGTACCCATTACTTACTCCCTGGCGAGTAAGAGATGTGGCTGGAGATCAACGGAGACAACTTTTCAACCTCGAACTGCGTAGAGTAAGAGTGAAGGTGGAACATTGCATAAGGAGAGTGAAAGAATATGGAGCTGTCAGTCATCTCTGGAGGCATGAACGATGGATGTTCCCTATTGTAAACGAACTTTGCGCCTTCTTAGCGCAAAGACACATTACTCTCTCTCGTGTGCTTTAGAACCCAAAATGTGCAACCTCAAAAGTGGAATGTACATGGGAGGTCTGAATTTCAGGGAGGTCTGAAACTACATATTCACAAGGCACGATACAACACGCAAAACGTTTAATAACATATCGTAATCATTGTTAATGTGCCGCGTCGTGTGTTTCTCCTTGCCTTGCTTGAAACTGTTGCGTAAAAACATTCGTTCACCATGCACTGATATTATTGCTGTGATATTAATGTAACTGGTAACAATAATAACTTTATAATAACGTTAATATTAATATATAATATGGTTGATTAGTTACATTCATGGTTTTCTGTTTGATGCGAGTGATATAATTGCCATATAACTACGGATTAAGGCTGGACAAATAGCACCACTCACAGTTACTCAAACCTGAAGAGTTTTTTTGTTGTTGTAAATTCACGAAGTCGTAAAAATTTCTGTGTATAATTTTCGTTCATGCTGCGTATTATTTATGTTTTATGCCATTACAATAATACTGTATAAAAAGATCGCCATCCAGTTTGTCATAGGTTTTATGCAAGATGTATATCAGAAAAAAGTACACCATGTTGAAACGGCTCTCAATTTCAGAAATTCTTTCATTTCATGAAGTTGTTGATAAATATAGACTGTTTGGGTACTTATAATGTAGAATAAACAAAAAAAATTGCAAAGATAAATTTTCCAGAGCAGGGGGAGGGTGCCTTTAAGCGGCATTTAAAAGGTTAAAACGCATTTTGAGTTTATGGGCGAGAAATCAGTTTGTTATGTGTTTTATTAAATTAATGGTTCAAATATCAGAAAACGTCTTCGATTTTAAGTCTGGTGAAACTTTCATTTTTTGGCACCCTGAATCTTTAACGCATGCATACATTTTCCTAATTTGCATATTGTTATTGTAAAAAAGTTAAAAAAAACCCACAATAATTTGCATATTGTTATTGTAAAAAAATAAAATAACAATGTGCAAATTAAGATAAAACTTGAATTAAGGATGCGCGAAAGCATTAATTGGTGCAAAAAAAATGAAAGTTTCACCAGCTATTTGAAGGACTTAAGATTGAGAACATTTTCTGATATTTGGAACATGAATAAAATACATAACAAATTTCTCGCACATGAACTCAAAATACGTTTTAAACTATCTATTGTTATGAAGAATTTCATGAAAGAACGGATTTGTGATATTGAGAGCCGTTTCAAAATTGTCTACTTTTTTTATTCACCCTGTATATCCAGCTGATCTCGCGCTAAGCTCGCAAAGCATGATTTCCAACGCAAATAGAAATCCATACCAGAAATCCGTGCGGGCGTTGTTTTGCTAAAATTTTCTCGGCCGATGCAGCAAAGGGCGATGTTTTGTTCATATTTTGGTTGATCTTTCGTGATTTTTTGTACGAATCGACAAAAGAAATGAGATACAAGACATTAATGGGTTCCTGGTTTACCTGAAAGACAAATAAACTGGATACGAACTGAAATCGCGTTGATTTTATGCATATTTATTGTTGTCGGACTTGTATTCGGACATGAACAGGCTAGTGATAACTAAATATTGTTATAAAATTAGGGTTTTTTAAGATGCCGATTGCTGTATTATTAAGGTATTCCAATAAATATTTCTGTTTTATAATTATTTTTTTGGTTTATGATGTTTTCAATCCGATTTTAAGAGTAAAAACAAGTTGTACTTTACGTGCAATGTTGGCAAGTCATAAATCGAACATACTGAGTTTTGGCGGGCTTTACAAACCTCTGCCTATTTCTTGTATCAATAAATATTTCAAAATGACTTCCTCTTCAAGCAATTTTCGCTGTGAATACCCTGAATGCAAGAAAGATTACGGTTCCTACAATAATTTATTGCGCCATTATCGAGCCAACCAACAATTAACACAAGCCGGAGAATTTAGAAAATAAGAAAAAACCGAGTGCCATAGAGCTTGTTAGCGATGTATTTCGGCCGAGTAATATTAGCGAAGTAACTCGTTCTGCAAGAGTAAAAGCTTTTATTAGTTGTCTAAGTGTGGAAGAAATGAAAGAGCATTTTCTGCAGCCTGTTGTTCACCATGTAAGTTCTTGGGAGTTTCTTTTGTCAAAGGCTACTTCAAATGGCTGTGTAAACACTACGAAACTTTTGCGAGATTTTAATGCTTTAAAACAGTTGTTGTATGATAACTATCCTGAGATGAAACCAATTGTTGAAGAAAATGTTGCTGTGAATTTGGTTGGAATGCCCACTTTAAACGATATGGTAAACTTTGTGCTGGATAACAAGACATTACTGTGCAGTGCTATACTTGAAGCTGAGGATGGAAAGATATTCAGGGAAGGATTAATGCCACTTGTTTTTGAAAAGAACAAAGACAAATTTCTTGAATTTGCATCGGGAATTGTTGGTTCGTTTTCTATTGGGCAAAAACAACTGCAAGATGTTCTGCGAAACACCTGGGGAAAGTATCTTTCAGCAGTGATTGGTGTCAATGTCATCCCACCCAAAGCCCTTATTGTACAACACCTAAAGAAAAAGAAACAAGAACTGACAGAGCTGATAGGATTGAATTTCGAAGTCCATGATGATGTGGTTGTTGCAAAGGTTAATGTTGCTATGTATTTGGAATATCTACTCTCTCGCCCGACTATCAAGATATCTGAAATTGCACCCGAGAACAAAGTACTTGTATACCAGTTCACTGATTTAGCTCCACGGTTAAAGTGGTCAAGGTATTTCACTGGCATCACCACCTTGCGTCTGAAAGTTGTTGAGTGCCACAACCTTAACCGACTAGTCATTACAGCTGGCGTATACCTTGGTCCAGACGATTGTGACACAATCAAGAAACGCTTTGGAGGATTGTATGAAGAGTATGCTCAGTTGAAAGAAATTAATTCTCCCAAATGTGAACGTCCCATCCAAGTGTACTACAGAAGTTGTGTAGATGGCAAACAGCGTCGGATTGACACAGGCAATAGTTCTTCAAGATCCACATTCCCAATCCCAGATGCTCCTGAACACACCACCTTGTTGGGTAACATGTTGGTCATCTCTACTGGCCCAGTCTGGACAGTTCAAGACACAAAGGAAGCAGAGAAGAATTGGATGAAAGAGAAAACCCCAGTTCCAAGATCAGAATTTGCAAAAAATAACTTAGGCAACCAAGGGCGGGTAAATCTTACTAACTGTGATATGCAAGATTATTTTCCAGTAGCAATGCATCTTGCCATTAGATCTGTGGAAACATTGTCAGTACAAATTGGCATGTGTGCAATTGGTAAGTTAGCACTAACAGCCAGGTAGCAGGGAAGTTTCTGCCATCACAATGGCAGACATTTTTCAACAAATATTAGGAAAAAAAATGCGCTGAATATTGTTTAATATTCATGAATATTGTTTAATATTCATGAATATGAATATTATCAAGATACAAGTACTAGTTGAAAAAACCCCAGAAAAATTAAGTTGATATTTAGATTTTGAAATACATTTGAAATTGGATATTGTCTTGAATTAATTACCTATTTCATGGATATAAATTTGAGTTTACAAAATAACAATATTCAGACAATGTTTTTCTCCTATACATGTGCCACTTTGAAGTATGAACTGTATATTTAGAGAGGGGTGTAAGCTGTGAATAATCTGCCCCTCCCCCTGTTAATTAAGGCAGGGCCGTCGCAAAGCATCTAAAGTGGGGAGGGGGTGTCAGACAATTTTTACCAAAATTTTACAAATTCACCTGAAAATTAAATCCCCCCGGTCAAAAGATTTTCTGGACAAACACGATTTCCTGACACAAAGTCCAATTTTCATAAACTTTTATGCAAAAATAGGTATCATTTCAGAAAAATATCGACATTATTATTACCCAAATTGTGCCTGAAAATTACAACATTTACCTGATTTTAACTTCAAACATCTTGGATTTTACATCTTGAGCTTTTCAACCTCCAGTAAAAACCAACAATTGGTTCATAGTTTACCTGATTTTCAAGTTTACCTGATTCTCGACAATAAAGCAACCTAAACTCAGTGGCGCCGTGGCCAGGGGGGGGCATGCCCCCCTATTGTTGAGACCCGTCAGAACATTGTCAATGTTGTCGGAACATTGTCAATGTTGTCGGAAATTGTCAAAGTTGTTGACTGGGGGGGGGGG